AGCAGGGGGGCAGCCCCTCCAGCCTCCCCCTTCTCTCCGCCAGTGGGGAAGGTTGTCTTGGTAACTGGGGCTGCGCTGATGTTAGTCACCTTGCTGGGATTTTTTCCCTGGAAGGGGCGAGGAGGTTGGGGGTGAAGACAAGCAGAGTCCCCCTTCCGCGGGCTGCTGACTTAATAAGAACCCAGGCAGCTCCGAGGATGCTTCTCCGCGGGAAACTCAACTGTGCGCTTGAGAAGCGGCGGGCGGTGGGGAAGCTGGGCCCGGGAGGGGACCAGGGGCTCCCCGAAGCCAGGACGCCGCGGGGAAAGGCCCCGGGTCCCAAATGCCCTTCCAGCCTGGGGCAGAGGGAAAGGACTCGGCGTGGGTCTGAGGCTCCGAAGGGGTGGGCGCAGCAGCCCGATGGTCGGCTCAGCCCTGGCTGGCTGGATCCCCTCTGTGCACAGGCGGGGGCCTTTTCCAGCACCAGTGGAGTCACCGTGACCTCCGGGGAGCTGGATGAGGCGTTGCTGTAAAGCCCTCGCTCTAGCGGACGGCCCATCCGAGCGGCGCCATTGTCATGGACGTGGGGGTGAGATGCTTTATCCTGGGCCCTTCCTCCCCTTCCTGCCCTTTGCAAGTCCGTTCTCCAAACAGGAACCAGAACATCTTCCCGAACGTGAGTCCTTCGCACCACCTCCCACTGGCTCCCCAACGCCCTGAGGACAGAGCCTCACGTGCACTGGCCCCTGGGCTCCCCGCCGCCCCCCACCTTCTCCATTTGGGGCCAGATGCTCCAACCCTCCAGCCAAAGGGCTTCTTTCACTCCCTCCACACGCCACACCCCTACTGCAGCCCTCACAGCCTGTCCCCAGTGCCCGGAACACTGTCCCTGTGGTCTTCGCCAGGCTCCCTCCCACGCCTCCCTCAGGCCTCATCTCAGACACCTAAGAGGCCTCCGCAGTGCGAGGCTGCAAGTGTGAGGGCAGAGGGTGCCCGGAGCTCCAGGAACCGTGTACACATGTGTGCGCGTGTGCGCGTGTGCACTCACATGTGTGCACGTGTATGTGTGTGTGCACAAGCTCCCAGCTGCTCTGGTCTCTGCCAGGCCCTGTCCCTCCAGCCTCAGGCCACACTGTCCTTTGCCAGCTCACTGTCCCCCTGCCCGACAGGAACACAGCTCCACGCAGTGCGGGCTTTGCCCTGTGACTATGGCTCTTAGGGTCCTGCCCAGCGCCTGGCACAGAGGAGGCATTAAGTAAACAGTCAGGGGCTGGGCAAAGCGATGGAGGAGTGCTTGGCATCGGTCAACACCGTGAGTGGCCCTGATTTGGTGAAGATACGTCTGGACACAGGCCAAGCTGCCTCTCTCCTGGGGTCCACAACAGGTCAACCCCCCATAAATAGACACTGCCCCATAGGGCGGCACCCCTCTGAGCCGATGGTCCTTCCCGCAGAGGCCTGGCTGCACCAACCGCCCTGTGCCCGGGCCTGGGCTCTCTGAGGTCCACGTGCCGAGCCCTTGGTCCCTTCCAGGAGTCAGGCCTGGAGCCCTTGAGCACATCCCTGCACTGGCTGTAGGTGGTAAATACCTTGGGCTTTGGAGCCAGAGAGGCTTTCCTTGCAGTCCCTCCTGCTAGCTGTGTGACCTTGGGCCAGTCTCTGGATGCCCCGGTGGGTATACAACAGTGCCCACCCCCGAGGGTTGTCACGGGGCTTCAGGGCACTGAAGGCCCCAGGCCAATGCCTGCAGTTACTGCCCCAGCCTCCAGGACTGATGGAGGGACTGTCATTGAAATAGGGGACGTTCAGGAGATGAGGGCCGGGGCGGGGATCTAGATGGCTGCTGGAGGTGGGCACACCTCACTTGGGGGTGGGCAGCTGTGCTCTTGAAGCAAGAACACCCTTATGCTGGGGCACCAGGTTAGCTGCCGCAGACCTGATGCTCTGCTGCCTCAGTTTACCCTCTGGGTGTCCACAGAACTAGCCTGATCCCCTTTCCATGGCATAGCCTTGAGGGGGTTCAGACTTGGGCACATGGTACACGGGCCCCCGGCTGCTGTGGTGGGACTGTCGCCTCTGCCCCCACACTCTTCCTCCCCCAAGGAGGCTTCCCAGCCAGAGGCAGGCGGCTCTGTCCCTGACCCACTGCTGCAGGCAGGGGCCGTCCACAGCCTGGGAGCGGCAGGGGCTGGCAAAGACTTCGAGAAGGCAGGTCTGGAGCCCGCACAAATGGGGAGTGGGTGGCGGACCTGGCAGCCCCCTCTGGTTGAGGCCCCGGCGGGCTGCGTGGCCTGGGCAGCCGGAGGCGCTGGCCAAGGCCGAGGCCCATCTGCTGAAATTTCAAAGGCAAATGTTCTGAGAAATAATGGGACTTAATAAGCCGGGCTGATCGATATGGCACTGGAGGGAGGGAACAGAGGGAGAGAGGGAGATGCTCATGCGGACAGAGGTACAGGCGAAGCACAGAGAGAAAGGGAAGGAGACAGACGCAGGCAGATAAATGTGCAACAACGTGGACACGCGTGCACAGACTGGGGCACTCCCCCTCCCCGAACGCACTGAAACAGACACACGGAGACAGAGAGAGACAGGGACATGGGGGCACCCAGAGAACGGGGACCTTCAGTGATCGAGGGGAGAGAACCGGGGGGGCCAGGAGGACAGCTGTGGGGTCTGGGGCTCCTCAGGAAGCTTGGCTGAGGCTGACGACTGCCGGGCCTCTGTCCCCCGGAGCCACAGGGTCTCGTCCGTGGTCCTCAGGCCCTCAGGCAGGGGAGTGTGTGGCCGCCGCTCCCCTTCCGCGTCCCAGCGCACAGGACACAGAGTGTCTGTGATGCACAGGTTTTAAAAAATCTTCATGAAGTCCAATTTGTCTTTTTCTTCTCTTTCGTTGCCTGTGCCGCTGGTATTATATCCAAGCAGTCACGCCAAGTCCGAGGTCCTGAAGGTTTTGCCCTTGGTTTTCCTCTAAGAGCTTTCTGGTTTTAGGTCCTCGACACCTTCTTGAGTTAATTTGGGTGTATGAAGTTAAGAGCTCAACTCCATTTTTTAAAATTTATTTTTACACAGGGATATCCAGTTTTCTCAGCTCCGTTTGTTGAAAAGACTGTCCTTTCCTCATTTAGTGTTCTCGGCACCTTTGTCGAAATGATTGGATCCTACGTGTGAGGGCTTATTTCTGGGCTCTCTGTCCTAGTCCACTGGTCTGTCTTTATGGCAGTTACCACGCTGTTTTGACTACTGTAACTTTGTGGTAGGTTTTCCCGTAATGAAATGCGAGTCCTCCAATCTTGCGCTTCTTTTTCAAGGTTGCTTTGGCTATTTGGGGGTCCCTTGAGATTCCATATGAATTTTAGGACGGATTTTTCTATTTCTGAAAAAACCCCACACATTGTTGGGACAATGATAGGAATCGCATTCTGTAGATTACTCTCAGTAGCGTTGATCTTAACAATATCGAGTCTTCCAGTCCATAAACATCGGTGCTTTTCCATTTATGTGCGCCTTCTTTAATTCCTTTCAGCAACATTTTGTAGTTTTCAGTATGGAAGTCTATTATCTCCTTGGTGAATTCAATTTGTAAGTATTTTACTATTTTTTAATACTGTTGTAAATGGAATTGTTTTCTTAAAATTTTTTTTAGATTATTCATTATTAGGGTATAGAAACACAACAGATTTTGCTTTGTTCATCTTGTATCCTGCTACCTTTTAAAAAAAAAAAAAATGTCTTTATTGATTTCAGAGAGAGGAAGGGAGAGGGAGAGAGAGAAACATCCATGATGAGAGCCATTGATCGGCTGCCTCCTGCACGCCCCCTGCTGGGGATCGAGCCCGAAACCCGGCCATGTGCCCTGACTGGGAACCGAACTGCAGTCTCCTGGGTCCTAGGTCGATGCTCAACGGCTGAGCCACACCAGCCGGGCTTGTATCCTACCACTTTGCCGAATTTGTTTATTATTTTTAACATTTTTTTGGTGAAAACTATTAGGGTTTTCACGTCACCCGCGACCGAGGTAAATGCACTTCTTCTTTTCCAGTTTGGAGGCCTCTTATTTCTTTTTCTTGCCTAACCGCTGTGGCCAGGACTTCTAGCACCGTCTGGAACACGACTGATGAACCAGGTGCCCTGGCCTGTTCCTTCACCGCAGTTTTGCCCTCGGTGTTTCCCTTAGGACCTGCGGTGATTCCGACGGGCAGCCTGGGGTCCACACTCCCGGCTCTGCTCTTTGCTTCCCCACCTCATCTCGTTGAATTCTCAGGACAGCCTTTCGAGGCCCTGTTTGTGTACCCACTTTATAGAGAGAACGCAGGTGCCCAGGGAGGTGGGTTCTCCACGGGCAGAGCCCGGAGATGGAGGCGGGGGTCAGTCTCCTCACACACCACGCGCGGCTCGCACCCCCTCTCGCTGGCGGAACAGAGACGCACAGGTGGGTGACTATTTCAAAGGCCACCACACCTGACCCAGGTCCCCCTGATCCCCAAACCCTTTCCTTCTCCCTCTCCAGGCCAACATTATAGCCCCAAATGGCCCGCGGGCCAAATCTAGCTCCAGCGTTCTGCCCGTGAGCTAAGAACAGTGCTCACATTTTTAAAGGGCTGTCAAAAGAAATCACAAACCAACATGCAAAGCCTGTGGGGCCTTTTCCAGGAAAAGTTTAGCCCAGTGGGGGACGCTGACTGTGGAGCCCTCAGCCTGGGGCACAGAGGCGAGGATGGGGCGCCATCTCCACGCGCAGCCCTGTCGAGGCCCAGACACTGGCCGCAGGGTGGGACGCACACCGGGCTCCCCAGCCCCCCCGGGTCCCTAGTGCCAGGCATCAGCTCTCAGCCGCTCAAACCTCCCCCGTCACAGGAGGTAAAAAATGTGACAACTCAAAGCGGGACATTAAAGTTTAACTGCGTCGATGCATATTTCATGAGATTTAACAAACCATCTTTAAAGATGTCCTAGATAGCCCCCTGGGGTAGGGACAGCCTGCCAGAGAGCCACCCTGCCCACAGCAGCCAGGGCTCCCTCACCTGTCTGCGGTGGCATCCCAGGGGCCACTTGGCATTGCCACCTCCTGCCACAGTCAAGAGCGGGCCTGCCGCCCTCTCATCATTAACATCACAAGGCTGCCCGAGGGGCCGCGCGAGCAGGAGCAGCTCGGGCTGCCCGGCGCCGTGTCGAGAAGGCCCACGCTGTGGGACAGACATGGGAGGATGGCACAGACCCCCCTGAATCTGAAGGGCCCCAGCCGGTCCGCCAGGAGTCCTGACAAAGTCACATGAGCCACAGGACTCACTTTCTGCTCCCCTGCCAACCACACGACTTTGGGGGCAACAGCCAACTCTCAGAGCCACCTGGATATGTTGGGGGGCTTGGGGACTTCTCACAAGGGGCCCACCAACCCTACTGATGTCCCAGTTGGGGCACCGACAGGAAGATCCTCCGGGCCTTGTGGCAGGTTCCCGTTCAGGGTGGCGCCTGGAATCCTCAGCTCCTCACCCTGCCTCGTCACTGGGGTCTCTCAGCGGGCACCCCTCGCGGGGCGATGACACACGACCTGCACCTGCAGTCAGCGGCCTCCCACGCCTGGGCCTCCACGCCTGGGCCTCCACCTGCCTCCTTGACTCCCCATGATGGGTTGCAAGGGCTCCCCTAGCCCAGTGTGTTCAGTAAGAAGCTTTGGGTCTGCCCCCAAGCCTGGTCCTTGCCTGGGGTTCCCCATTGAGGTGAATAGCACCCCATCATCAAAATGCCTGGACCAGCCATGGGGCAGGGGGTCACCCTTGGTGCCCACCTCTCCTTTACCCGTTTCCGGACTGTCCTTCTGAAAGTCCGGCCACTCTCCCCCATAGCAGCACTGCCTCTGGTGCACTGGTCTTCCCCCTGCGCCCATGCTGGGCCCTGGGCCCCTCCCTCACCTATAACACCTGTAACGCCTGTCACACCTGCTGGTCCGCCTTGTCATTTCCCCAGGGGGCCCTTCCTCACCATGTCGCACCCAGAGGGAGTTCCCGCCCAGCCTACAGTCTCTCCCTCAGGACATACATCACAGAGGCCACTCAGCAGCTCTCAGGTGGCCCATCCCCCCCGCAGATGAAGCCTGGCTGACCCTCCAGTGCCCAGGCTGCGGGCGCAGCTCCCGGCCCCCACCCCCCAGACCCTGCCTTCAGGCGGAGACTCAGAGGGCACCCCCACTCTAGGCCATTCGCTCAACCTCTACTCACTGAGCACCTGCTTTGGGCCCGGCTCTGGTCCTCTGTCCCAGAGCAGCGCTGCATGGCAAACTGCCCCCAGGTCCACCCACAGAAGGGCCCCTTCCTTGGAGCGGACACGCCAGCCCACACCGCTAGTCACCTCCGCCAGCTAACGTCTGGGCACCGCTCAGCTGCTCATGGACACACATGGGATCTCTGGCCAGGCTGGCAGGGAGCCCAGGCCCACCTGGAATCTGAGGACCCTCCAACGTGTGGCAGTTTGGGTGCTGCACCTACAGAGCGTCTGTCCCGGCCACAGGCTAAAGATGTGCTCCCAGTCTTGGGCTCCGTGCAGTGACTTTGGGGGCTGAAGGCAGGAGGGGCTGAGGGAGGACACTGGGAGGCCAGTAGGGGGGCCCTGGGCAGTTCAGCGTCCCCCACCCCCCACACCCAGAACAGCTCTGATGTTAGACCGCTGTTCGAATTTCAACAGAGTGTGGCAGCCAGAATGGAATCCAGGGACCGCATCTGACAGATGGGGACACTGTAGCCATGGAGGGGCGCTCCTCCAGGTCACCGTCCAGTCCCAGGCTGGGGGACCCAGCAGCAGGGACAGGAGTCAGCAGGAGAAAAGGAGGGGAGCTTGGCGACATCTGGGGGGCGTGTCACATCTCTGGGTTCCGCTCAGGGAGAAGCAGGTGTCCTGGCAGCTCCTTGAAGTCCCCGCAGCCCCCTCTGTGTTCCCACCCCTACCAGACACCCCACACCCACCCTCCAAGATGGCACGGGGAACCAGCCATCCTCGAGTTCGGGAAGCTTTTCCAAATTCCTTTGCCATTTGTTATCTCTCTGTTTTGTAAAAAAAAAATTCTCCCAAACATCCTGGGAGGCCTGTGATTGCATGACTCTAAGATTCCCTGGTTCTGAGACTCAGTGTTTGAAAGGCTCTAGGAGCTGGAGACCCCACTCTGCAGCTGAGGGGACGGGCAGGTCCGCGGCCCCAGCAGGGCGGGCAGAGCGCCCTCGGGTTCAGCCCGGGCCCTGCGGGCGCATCTGACAGTCACTAGGCAGATGGGGTCAGGGCCCAAGAGGAGGAGCGAGGGCTTTTGTGCAAAAGTAGTAGAGGGGGGTTGCAGTGAAGGTGATGGTGGGGGTGATGGTGATGATGATGGTGATGATGGTGATGGTGGGGGTGGGGGTGATGATGGTGATGGTGGTGGTGGCAGTGATGATAATAATAGCAGCCAGTGTTTATTGAGTCCTTACTATGTGCCAAGCCTTGTGTTACTATGGGCCAGGCGTGTCTGAGCAGTTGAGCGTCGACCTAGGATCCAGGAGATCTGGGTTCGATTCCCGGTCAGGGCACAGGCCCGGGTTGCGGGCTTGGTCCCCAGTCAGGGGCGTGCAGGAGGCGGCCGATCAATGACTCTGATCATTGATGTTTCTATCTCTCTCTCCCCTCTCCCTTCCTCTCTCTGAAATCAATAAAGATTTATATTAAAAAGAAGTTGATACATCTTATCTCATTGCATCTTCATGGCCACCAAGGAGGCTTGCCTTCTTATGTTATTATCAACCCATTTACAGATGAAGAAACTGAGGCTCAGAGAGGCAAAGCCACTTGCCCAAGGTCAGCGAGGAAGTGGCACGGCCAGGACAGGAGCCCACGTCTGCCCGACTGCACTGCGCTGTGTTAACCCCTCATATCTGGCCCCTGCTGCAGGGACACAAAGCGGCAGCCCTGTGGGGGAACCCGGCATACCCCAGGTCCGCCCCCCAGCCACCTTCCTAGGGCCGCCTCACACACCTGCCTGCCCGGCAGCATCTGAGTCTGCGTAACCCCTTTGCAAAGCGACTTCCCTGCCTTTGTCTTCTGTGACCTCTGAAATGGTCCTGCAAGGTAGACCCAAGCAGCAGAGGGGAAACTGAGGCCAGAGAGAGCACATGACTTGAAAGAGGTCACGGAGCACAGCTGAGGAGGCGACTGACCAAGACGGCAGAGGGCCGACCCTCAGCCAGCTCTACACTCCAGCCTCCGCGGGGCCCTCGGGCTGGTCGGGGCGCCCACGTGGGGGTGTGGCGCAAGGTAGCAACGAGAGCGCTTGGCTGTGCGACCATAGACGGCTGTCTCAGCCTCTCTGGGCCTCCTCAGTCAGGACTCAGCACGGTCCTGGCCTGTGAGGAAATGCTGGCCCATGGAAGCATAGGAGAGGGACCGTGGTGGACACAGCTGCAGCGGCCCAGGGCTCTGGGATCCGGGACGGATTGTCCCTCGCCCTGGAAGAGAGAACCCGTCCATCCCACTGCGCTGAGTCCACTGGGAGGCGAGCCAAAGCCCCCTCCTACCAGCTCAGCCAAGGCCCGTTCCTGAGCCTCACATCACTGAGGCCGAGCCACGGGGCCCCCAGGGAGGCTGCTCGGAGGAGGTCACACACACACACACACACACACACACACACACACACCGCTGTCACCATGGTGGCAGAGCCTCTTGGCAGAGGGGACATCCAGGCTGGGCTGCGGCCCCCTCCACAGCACCCAAGCTGTTGATAATGGGGGAAGTTGAAAAAAACAAAACCAGATGCCTCTTTGAACATTTCTGGCATTCGGAAGGCTAGGAGTTTCATCCCAAACGGCGCTAACTTCCCCCGCCCGCTGCCTCGTCTCCCGCCCTAAGCCTCCCGCCCTCCAGGCCCCTCCACGG